CACATCCTTAAATTATTATTAAATCATAAAATTTTAATTATCACCATATTTCGAAACTCCCTACCCTCTAGTTTCCTACATTAATAGTTTCCTGCATCTCAAAATTTTCAAAGTCCCCAAAACTCGAAGTTTCCATGTCCTCCAATAATCCTAATAAGAATTTCAAATTTGCGATAATTCCAAGTTGTCAAACTAGAAAATCCCTAAAAATCGACGACCATCAGACTCTTTTATTTCCAGCTACTATTTCGCTAGAAAAGTCAGATCTTGACTATATGCTTCGTATTGAAACACGGCCGCGACGAATAATTTGAGATTCATCGAGATGCAGCGGGTCGAGTCACTTGTAATTCGTTTCCGTTGCTTCCGGCGACGCGTTTCCACCCCCTTGAATCGTCTTTTACCCCCGATGTTCTTTTTTGTTTGGCCATTTGCTCGAAATAGCCGGGCGCGAAAAGATGGCAGAATTACGATCGAGAAAGGGAATTGTCTCGAAGGGGGTGGCACGAAAAAGGGACAAGAACACGGACATCGTTCTATAGAAGTTAACTTCGCATTTAACATCTGCTGGAGAGGTTAAAATTTCCCTCGAAGTTTATCCTAAGTTGTGCAGTGGCGTATATCTTTTAGCCCGGTTTCAAGAAAAATCACAGAGGGGTTTTGAATCGTTAAACAAAGAGCCTTTGCGTCGTTTGTTGATGAACGTTTTGCATTGAAATTGAAGCAGCGAGTAGCTTTATTGCGGGCGGATGAATATGAGCAAAGTTTGAGGCTTCATAGAATTCTTTGAAGGATGCACGAATTATTAATAAACGTATGTATATCAGAGAATGCAAATTCGACGATGGTGCTGGCTTGGAGAATATCGAGGTAGCTTTAGCTAAGGAAATTTTAACGGCATGGTTGCAAGATTTGGGTATTCGAATATGCATGTGAGAGATTTTTATTGATTTTTTGAATGTATAAAAGATTTGAATTAAATATAGGCACATAACCTAACTTTATTGCTCACCAAACCTAACCTCAACAGAAAGTATTCTTTTATAGTCACATAGGTTTATTTCTTTCATACATATATTTGAAACTCGTCCAACTATATAATCAAGAATGAAATAATTAATTGCTACAGGACAATGAAGGTTTGAGTTAAATATGAAAACTACGTTGGATATTTACTAACCTAAACTTCATTTATACATAACCTAAATTCAACCTTATTCCTCATCAAACCTAACCTCAACATGTAGCATTCAATCATAGTCACATAGGTTTATATCTTTCATACATATATTTGAAACTCATCCAATTATATAATCAAGAATGAAATAATTAATTGCTACAGGACAATAAAGGTTTGAGTTAAATATGAAAACTTCGTTGGATATTTATTAACCTAAACTTCATTTATACATAACCTAAATCCAACCTTATTCCTCATCAAACCTAACCTCAACATGAAGCATTCAATCATAGTCACATAGGTTTATTTCTTTCATACATATATTTGAAACTCGTCCAACTATAAAATGAAGAATGAAATAATTAATTGCTACAGGACAATAAAAGGTTTGAGTTAAATATGAAAACTACGTTGGATATTTATTAACCTAAACTTCATTTATACATAACCTAAATCCAACCTTATTCCCCATCAAACCTAACCTCAACATGAAGCATTCAATCATAGTCACATAGGTTTATTTCTTTCATACATATATTTGAAACTCGTCCAACTATAATTAGGAATGAAATAATTAATTGCTACACCACAATTACATCATAAATTCATAAGTTTTAATGAAACGATACTGAACCAGTCTTTCATCTCTTTTTCCAAAACGATCAACGAAATATTTTGAAACCGTGAAGATCAAGGCCAGTACATGAACATGTCAGTACAGAATATGATAGAAACGTGATAAAATTCAAATGATTTTAAAATAAAAGTGCGAAAAAGCCAATTTTTCTGCAGCTATCAGTTGTTTACTAACGGAATTAATTTAGACGAACGAAGATAAGTAAACCGGTGAGATTAATGGTTCGATCGGATCGCAATATTGGCGTAACAGCAATTTGCGCGGGAAATATCGTTTGACGTTTCTGTTAGAGGATCGATGACGATCGGACGATGGGTAGCCGTGCGTAAATCTTGTCGTGCTACAATCACTGGTCGGATCAACGAGTCGGATAAAAGTAATTCCCGATAAAAGCGATTTCCCCAGTCGTGTGCGCGGAATGAATAATAAACGCAGCTGGAACGCGCATATCGTCGGCCAATTATTTGAATCGCGAACAATTTTGTCGGGACTTGTTGATTTAACGAACGAGAACAGTCGAGCAAATAGGTTTCGGCTACGAAGCCGAATCAATTCTTCGTCTCGGTACCTGTTGTTTCATCGAACGATATCTCGCTCGTTCGACCGGCTCGACTGTCACGCCGATCGATAAAAACATTTAGCTAACTGAAAACCAGCCGATAAGCGGATACCTTTGACGCCTTGTTTCGACCAAATACCTTTGATTAATTCCGATACTGTCAGCAGATTTCAGACACGCTGCAACACCTTTCAATTATACTAATGCACTCCACTTTTCTAGTTTTCGGTTTTTGTTTTCAGGTTATTTTTAAGACAAGCTTTTAGGTTAGCTGTGTAAATTATCACGATATTTGTATTATAATTTCTTATTAATTATTACTTCAGTTTGTCTCAAAATTATATTGTTAATGCAACATTTCAAATTAAAAGTAATTTTGTGTGAAGATAACTGAATATGTTAGGTTACTAGCAAGGCTATATTATTAACTATTTATGTCAAAATTAATGAAAATTTATTAAACTTAAAATATTTAATTATACCCAACACTATAATTGTTCAAATTGTTATGTAATTATACCCAACACTATAATTGTTGAAACTGCTATGTAATTATACCCAACACTATAATTGTTCAAATTGCTATGTAATTATACCCAACACTACTGTTCAAAGGATTATATTTGTGTCCAATAAAGTCACGAAATATTGCAAATAATTTCAACAAAAACAATATTGAATTTTAGCATTTTAATATAAGCTTAACAAACGAAAAATTTAAGTACTTTCACCAAACAATTGTTGCCATAGTTGCAAATTAACCACATCGAAAATAACTGTAATTTTTAAAATGTTTGTAACATTTACACGATCATATACTACAAAAACAGCTCAAATATTAAAATAAAATACGAATATTAATTCCAGATAAATACTAATCAAATTAAGGGGAATTGATTAAAAATAAGCAAGTTTAACCTCTTTATAAATCTACCACCGTTGAAGGAGTATTAAAGCCAGTTTGATTGGTGATACCATCTATCACTTTCCTTAGGGTGGCACTAACTTTGATTGGCTATACCCTTGAGGAAAAAGGGCTTAGGGTTAAGATGGGTCAGCTCTTCAGCCCTGATACCACCACCACGATCGTAAAACCTAGATTTCGTCTTTTTATTTCCTATTTTCGAAAAAAGTGATATCTTGTCTTACACGACTTACTTTCATCGTTTCAACTAATCCATTTAACCTTCTTAAATTTTCATTTCAAGGATAAATCATCAATTTTAGACAAAATGAATTTGTGGAATTTCAAAGGGAAAACTTAATTTTTCTAAAATAACATTTGGGAAGAGTTTAAAATTGACAAGATTTATATTTGAAATGAAAATTTCAGAAGGTTAAATGGATCAAGTGAGATTTGAGGAAAATGAAATTTAAATTACTTCTTATAAGAAATTTTAAATTGCTCTTCCAAATTGTCTATTTAATGCCTATTTAAAAAATCTTAAAAATACATTCACCAAAAAAAATTTCATTTAATATTATTGAACTAGAAAATGCAAATATTAAAAATTTGAACAGTGCATAAGAGTAAAAATGGAATATAATTTCGATTTTTACGGACCCTTGCCTAAACAACCCTCCCCAGAGAATTTTACGTCCGCCTTAACAGGAACCGTGGAATCAGCTTTCGAATCATCTCCTGCTGGCAAGTGCGATAAAAAAGAAGCACGATAATCACGAGAATTGTAGGCGATTCGACTGTTCGTTCGATTCAATAGGGTAGTTTTATCGGAACCAGACGCGTAAGGGCGCAGTGATTTTTCGACTCGGGTTTCGCTCGACGAGAGCCCCGAGAATATTGAAATCATAATGTAGCCGACCATGAATATTATTCAGGTCTTAAGGCGATATAATCCAAAATCGATGGAGCCACGTGGAATAAATTTGGCACCCTGCTGTTCGCACTAAGCGCCCTGCAGCTCGGGGCGCCAGGTTAGGTGCTAACTGTTAGGAAAAGTACGTCCACTTATTAACCGCAATAACATTCCTCTTCTTTTCATTTTTTCATGCAATTTCCTTGTGAACGTAATATTATTTCTTATGTAAATATTCAATGACATTTATCAATCTTTTCAATGACATGTTATGTGTTGCAGTTTGAAAATTAAATTTAAAATCATGAAATACAAAATCATTGTGCACTTCATAAGAATTTAAGTTCTCGTTGCACAAGTTTTTTAATTTTAAACGAAAATGAATTCCCTCATTTTTATAGATTATATTGGAATGTTTAGAAATGGTGTAATAAATATTTCTTAAAAATTTTAGAAATTTATAAAAAATAAAGTTTATGAACCTAACCTCAAAAACGACAGGTTATTTGATGGACATACCATGAATTAAATTATACTAAACACAGTTTTGATGTAAATCTAATTCTCTAAAATAAATCATAGCATGTAACAATTATTTTGTTATAATTATTTTTACACAATTATTTTTGCCTTGATTTGGCAAAATTATAGAAGCTTTTTCTTGCAGAAGAGAAGTGAAAATATTAAGTACTTATTAAATTAAGATAACTCGTTTCTGTTTACACAAATGTGTCACCGAATTTATCAAGAGCTGTATAAACTCAAAATTCACCAAATTAACAGCCAAATATTTTATTTCTGTTTCAGATCTGCCAATTACGCGAACGCAACGAAACAATGTGAACTGTCGGATATGGACCGATTAACCGTTGCAGGCTCCAACGCTTTCCAAATAGCTAAAGGTTTCGATTATCTGGAGAATCATTGCGTAGATGAACCCGTGAAGCTGTGCGAATTCAAAAAATTGACCGGTCGCATCTTGAAGACAGTAGACTCCGTGTACCAAGATGTCGGCAGCGCCGAAGAGTGCAGAGAACTTTGCTTGAACTCGCCATTCCGTTGTCATTCTTACGATTATGGTGACACCGGTGACATGGTCTGCCGTCTCAGCCATCATTCCAGAGCCACTCTCTCAGACATTCAGGTAAAAATTGGAAAAATTAGTTGTTTTGAATATTTGCACAGGAGTTAAATGTCTTCTATCAACACCTTTGTATCGACTGACGTTTATGGCACGTTACCTTATTTGAAGAGCCACTTGACAAGTTTTAGCTTGCATAACTTTGTTGGGTTTATGATAGTATGAAACATCTCTCGTAGAAGTTACATTGCGGAAGCGGTTGTAGTATTACAGTGTATATACTTAATACGAAAAAAATGGCTAAACTGCGTAATTTGCAAATTTATGGACTTTTGCATTCTTGTATTATTCGAGTAAAAGTCTTGAAGAATATCAAGTATTAATAGGAAGTTTCTTTAGCTGAAAATTTTCATAAGTTGTTAGGTTTGAAGACTACTAAATTTCAGAAGCTTTAAATTCATCAATTTTTAATTTTGTAATTTTCTGAATTCAAAGATGTAGAAATTTGTAAATATGTAAATTTCAAGCTTATGGAATTTCAATGATAATTAACATTATTTGATGTTTTTTTAAATATATGTAAAAGTACTTGATTTGCAAAAGAGTGAATTTCATTTAAAAAGAATTTAATTTTCAATTGGATGAATATAATTAGCAAAAGGGCAAATTTTGTAATATATTAAACAAAATTCATATATTCTTCAGACAATATGATAATAATAGTAGAAGTTTCCACTCTATCAAATTCAAATTTATTAAAATATCCCAAAAAGTCAAATGATCTACCCAGTTATTAAAATATCCCAAAAAGTGAATTGATCTACCCAAAATATGCGGTTACGCAATAACGGAATAATAAAAATTAAAGTTCATGACAAAAACGCCAGCAAACAACAAGTTTCGTGAGATTTCATTTGCGCAAACTTCCTTTAATTCATTCGATATACGAAGTAAAACAATTCGACGACAATTTCGAGTACAGAACTCTGTTGGGAATCGAACCACACAGTTCAGCAGCCCACGTAGCACGTTGAAAGGGTCGACGTGGATTTTCTGTAAACGCGATTACATCGCACACGCGTGAACCAGCCCGAACAATTCGCCGAGAGCGCATTCGTGGAAAATCGAGTTTCCATCGCAGATGCTTACCCTATCGAGGCTGCGGATGGCTCTTCAGCTTGTGCATACGGGAGAGAACCGTACCTCCATGGCCCGAGGAAGTTAAGACAAAGACTTTTCTTCTCGCCAACCTGTTGAAGAATCAGTTCACTCTATTTCCGCTGGCGTTTGACGTCGAACCGAATCACTGCTGCTTTTTATATATCGCGATTCTTTTCCCACTTCCGTTCTGACCTGTCATGCAACGCGACGCAGCGCTTCCAAGGAAAATCGATGTTTTACTGTTTAATATTTTGCAATTTTGCTGGAAGTTGTGTTTATATTCCTTGCTTTATTGTTATGTGAGTTCACTGGTATTTTCTTGGAATTTTATTATGTTATTTTACTGTTATGTTATTGTCGTTTCTTCTGGACTGCATCATTTCCTCTTATTACCATGTTCATTGGTCATCTTATTGTCAGTTCTAGTTTTACTGTTGTTTCTTCTAAATTTCTTTACGTTATTACTAGTTGTTGTGAATTCATTTATTTTACTGTAATTTCTTCTGATGTTTGTTATCAAACTTTCTGAACCTTTTCATCCTACTGTCAGTGGTTCGAGCTTTTGCTGTGTCATTTTTGTGTCAGTGATATTAAAATTAATTATGTCACTTTAGCGTCAATTATTTTAAACTTTTAATTCATTTTACTGTGAATTTTACTGTCAACTGATTTAAATTTTAGTGTCATTGTAGTATCACTTTTTCTAAACTTTGTTATGTCATTTTACTGCCATTTGCTTTAAACTTTATTATGTAATTTTATTGTCACTTGTTTTAAACTTTATTATGCCATTTTTCTGCTATTTGCATTAAAATGTATTATGTCATTCCTTTGTTACTTGTTTTAAACTTTAATATATCATTTTACTGCCATTTGCTTTAAACTTTATTATGTAATTTTATTGTCACGTGCTTTAAACTTTATTATGTCATTTTACTGTCACTTATTTTATACATTTTGCTGTCATTTGTTTTTTACCTTGTCACATCATTTTATTGTCATTTGTTGTTAATCTTCTTATACCATTTTAACGTTGTTTGTTCTAAACTATATTTTGATATTTTACTTTCAATTGATTATAGATTATTATAGAGAACTACAAAGAACTACAAAGATTTGCAATTATTTCAACATCACAATATTTATTAATATTGTCACATACCGAATCAAAATTATTAAATTTATTGTGATTAATTAATTATAAATTGATATTAAATGTCTTGGTATCATTAGTGATCAGTATCATAAATTTAGTGTAATTGAATATTTGATACTCCATATACAATACTCATATTGCAATGATTGAATATTTGATAGATTAACAACGTAACATTATATTAATTTTGCTAGATGGCAACTTGAAACGTAGTTGCATAATGAAATAATCGCATTCTCAGTGATTATAATTGTAATATAAAATATTGCAAATATTCGTTTCCTTGTAGTGTTTAATATCGTGATAATATATCTATTACTGTCGTTGTGTATTATTTTTGAGGACGTACTGTTTGATATTTAAATTCTAACATCTTAAAGAACATTAATTTTAATTTCAATAAATCAGTTATGTTCATGATATAAATAAGATGACATTTATAATATCAACAATATTATTAAGAGTACATTTAGAATATGGGAAGCATACTCGATTCGGCCATTTTAATTAATTCGCGTTCTGACCGTCAGTGTCGCATGATAAAATTATACACTTGCAATACTAAAACACGAGAAAATTAACCATCCATTGTTTAATCAGTAATTTTCTTTTATTTTCTACCAGTTTTACATAGTCACTAACAAATTTTATTATTTACTTTCTAAAATATTTCTATGTTGCATATCATATAAGTACTCTTCACGTACTTCACATACTAACAATAAGTAAAATTCTTTTAATCTAACCTAGAAATAAATGGATGAAATTAATCTTCATAATATAATGTAAAAAAAAATACTTTTACATCTACAAATTTCATAAAATAATTTAAAATAAATGTAACTGTAAAATTATCTTTCTTTTAAATGAATCTCTTTCTACAAAGTGAGTCATTTTCACGTATTTAATGAAAATGAAGATTTACAAGCAATCCTACTATTTCCTACATAATTAAACAGTATGTGCAGTAGGCTAATAATACTAGGCAAGAGAAATCATCGAAAGCAGTTAACGCGATATTTCCGATAATGAGCGAGCTGTTCTAGTTTGATGCATCTCGCGATTCATTAACGGATAACGTGATAAACAAGACTCTAGGGTTTCTGGTAATTTGCTGTACGAGCAGTAGATGATGATAATACGTACAGGAGATGTTTATGGGCGTGTATGCGAATTGTTAGTAATCATTTGCAACCATAAAAAGATCGATTGATTGTAGGTGCTACTCGGGGGGCTCAATTATGCTCAATCAAAATTTCAAAATTTATTTCTAAGAGCCGAATTTCGTGGAAACGTAGGATTTAAATATATGTTTACAAAATTTTAAAGAATATTTTAATATTTTATATATGTATATAATTGAGATAAAATATATTTTCTAGTTTATACTAAAAATAATATTAGTATTATTCTGTATATGAAGTGTAGTTAAGAGATTATGTTTCATTTCACAGTGTCGAAAACAAAGTTATTTTTAACAATATTTTTTAAATTAAAAGTATTTTAAAAATATTTTAATCAAGAATATTTTTTAATAAGTTATTTTTTAATACTTAAAAATATTTTTTAATAATATCTTTATAAATTTTGATAGATATATTAATATGTATTATATATATTATATTTCTATTATTATTCTGAACTGAAATATTATATTAAAAGAAGAGTAAAATTATTAACATCACAAATTATTTAAAATTGTTAAAAATCTTCAAATTAAAAATATGTACTTAAACCTTGTTTTCTAAAGTAGACTTTCAAATCTTGCACACAAATGTTACTTTTCAACATACATCAAGTAATATCATTTTACCTTTTGTGTTAACTACGTCTATTTATTAAAATGCAAAAAATTATTTGTAATTAGAGTAGCAGTAATTATACTGATTAACCTTTGATCATTTCTAACAATATTTCTCAAAATTTGAATAATTCCTTTTCCGGGAATTCAAGTAATTTTGAAATGGAATACGTAGAAAGGGGTACAAATTTATTAGTCGACCTAATATTACCTAATAAATTAATGTCTTTATATTCAAACCAGTATTCCCGGAATACCTCATTAAAACTTGGTCTCTCCAATTCCTTTATGCAAGCATGTTCTTCACGCTTACACTAAATTAGCTAATTACCAACACACAAAAGCTTACTAGCTTTTATACGCAGTATACTTTTTAGTCTCACCATCTAATGAGTTCCACAGTCTCTGAGTTTTTGCTCCTCCACGAAAAATGTTCGCAAAGCGTGTATTATCACGTTCCGTGCTGCGTGAAATTTAAGGTTAATGATCAACGTTTAAAATCACGGGATAAAATCTTGTTGTCACGTTTAATATGTGTGTCAATGACTGATTATGAGTAATCGCTTTTACAACGTTGTTAAAAATACTTTTTCAAGGCATTTTTGAGTAGTTGTTGATTTTAAGTAGAATAAATATAATAAATTTTTGAGTATCTCAAGTTTCAGGATTTCAAGTTTTTGAATTACGATATTTTTAGATTTTTAAGTTTTAAATTTTCCAGTATCTCAAGTTTCAGGATTTCAAGTTTCTGAATTCTCAAACTGTTAGATTTTCAAGTTTTAACATTTCAAATTTTCAAATACTTCATTTTCAAATTAAGTTTTCGAGTCATTAAATATTCAGGTTAACAAATTTAATTGTTTAATTTACAAGGTATGGAAGTTTTAAATTTTTATCCGTTCAAAGGATTAAAAAGAGTCAGTGAAGAGGTTAAACCAAGATTTTACATACGGTTAACACTTTGACACATGAGTGACATGTAAACTTTCATATCAATCACTTATATTACTTTGTTCATTTATCTAACTGAAACTACATATAAATTCACCTTCTACCGTATTTTGACAGGTCTGACTTGTGACACACTCACAGTTCAAAAATATAATAAACCTCACGCTAATTGATAGTAGACTTTATTTTGAAATTTGTGTCCAACTATACTTTGCATAGTCAAAGACCGCTGCGTACAAAATTACATATCATATTATTTTGATACTTCAAAATGGACATATCATTTTAACCTTCTTTATTTGTTTCAATAATTCAGTTGAACAGTTAGTTCTGCCGCACCTGTCGACTCAGCTGCAATGCACACGAACTTCTTCCTGTGCAATTACACTGATTATATGTTCTTCTTTGTTTCCTCAGTCAAAGTAATGAGGACAAATATGTGATCTCATCAAGATTTCATAGAAGAAAGTTGCTCCTGTCTATTCAGGATAAATCGTATGTCAATGGTTGAACTACTTACAACTATAAATGCAACAAAATATTGCAAACTCATTTGGTTCACAACTGATTTGGATCAGTTGGACCAATTAAAATACTCATTTGCTTCACATGTTATTCGAATCACTTGATCTGTTAGAGTAGTCGTTTGGACCACTTGATCAGTTAAAATACCCATTTGGATCATTTGCTTTATATCTCATTTGAATCATTTAGTAATTAGTTAAAATACTCCTTTGGTCCATAACTCATGTGGACCACTTCAGTTAAGGTACTCATTTAAATCATTTAGTAATCATTTAAACAACTCATTTCGTTCGCATCTCATTTGGACCACTTGATCAGTTAAAATACTCATTTGCTTCTCATCTCATTTGAATCATTTGGTCATCAGTTAAAATACTCCTTTGATCCATAACTCATGTGGACTATTTCAGTTAAGGTACTCATTCCGATCATTTAGTAATCATTTGAACTACTCATTTGGTTCACATCTCATTTAGACCACTTGATCAGTTAAAATACTCATTTGCTTCTCATCTCATTTGAATCATTTAGTGATCAGTTAAAATACTCCTTTGATCCATAACTCATGTGGACCATTTCAGTTAAGGTACTCATTCCAATCATTTAGTAATCATTTGAACTACTCATTTCGTTCACATCTCATTTAGACCACTTGATCAGTTAAAATACTCATTTGCTTCTCATCTCATTTGAATCATTTAGTAATCAGTTAAAATACTCATTTGGTTCACAACTCATTTCGATCATTTGCTTCACATCTCATTTGAATCTTGGTGCTCAGTTAAAACACTTATGTTGTCCATAATCCATGAACCATTTGGTGCTTGATTAAAGTACTCATTCCGATTGAAACAACTCTTCTGGGTCACATTTCGATCATTTGCTTCACATCTCATTTAGATCACTTGTCGATCAGTTGAAATACTTGGTTCACAATTAATGTATATCATTTGATGACCAGTTAAAATAGCACCTAAAAAAATGTGCAAATATTTCAATCCAACGATGTGTTAAATAAATGAATAACAATAAGGACCATTTGCTTTCAGGAACCTTATCTAGACGTGCCTGAGGGATCAACGTACGAGTTGAGCTCCTGCTACAACGTCACCATCGACTGCCGTGCTGGCGACATGGTGACTCGAATCCAGACCAGCAAACTGTTCTACGGCAAGGTGTACGTGAAGGGATCGCCTAACTCGTGCGTGCAGGATGTGAAAGGTGCCTTGGAATTCGAGCTCCGGATGGCTTACGACGATCTGGAATGCAACATTAGACAGCAAGGTCTGGGCCGGTACCTGAACGACGTCGTGATTCAGCATCACGACACCATCGTCACCAGTTCCGACCTTGGCCTGGCCGTCACCTGCCAGTACGACCTGACCAACAAAACGGTGTCGAACGAGGTTGACCTCGGTGTGCACGGTGACATAACTCCGGCCTTATCTGAAGAGGTGATCGTGGATTCGCCCAACGTAGCCATGAAGATCACCGACCGCAGTGGAAACGAAGCGATCCCAACAGCCGAAGTTGGTGATCCCCTGGCGCTGAAGTTCGAGATCCTCGACCCTAACAGCCCGTACGAGATCTTTGTAAGAGAACTGGTGGCCATGGACGGCGTCGACTCCAGCGAGATAGTCTTAATTGACTCCGACGGTTGCCCCACCGATCACGTTATCATGGGCCCACTTTACAAGTCGGCTACCACCGGCAAGGTAAGTGTTCCAGCTACAGTGCTTTATCATCTATCGTTGTACCGTTGCGAGAATGTGCACTCGATGTGGACTCGCGCTAAATTCTCGGTAGCCTCTCAACGACCGGACACGTACGCTCCTTTCTTTTTGTCATCCTTTTTTCAAAAGGTTTTCTTGTTAGCAAGCTTTTGTAGGGTTAGGAGCTTGAAGACTCGTAGATAGGAATGTTATGATTTTACGTGGAGTTTGATATGTAAAGATTTGGAAGTTTGGAGGAAGTTTAGGATTTGTTAGCTTAGGGATTAGGGGATTTGAGGACCTGTCTGTTTGCTGATTTGCTAGAGTAAAGATTTTGAAATTTGACGATTAAGTAGAGAATTTGAATATTTAATTATTTACATATCTATATGTTTGAACATCTGATAATTTGAATACCTGATAATTTGATAATTTGTATATTTGAACAATTGAACATTCGAAAGCGTCACTATCTGTAATACTAATATTTAAACATTTTATTATTTTGAAATTAAAAGATTTTACTGCTGAGAGGTTGAAAAAATTGAATCTTTGAAAATTCAGTATTAAAAACTGAAGAAGCATAAATATTTAAAAATTTAGAAGTTAATATTTAAACATTTTTTTATTTTTAAATTAGAAGTTTTTACTGCTTAGCGATTAAAAAAATAGAATCTTTAAAAATTCAGTATTTAAAAATGAAGAAACGTAAATATTAAAAAATTGAGTACTTGAAAATTTATAAAAAAAATGTTAAAACTAATAAACCTAAAAATGTGCAGATCAGAATATTTGAAAATAGAAGAATCGTAAGTTGAAGAAATCTAGGAACGAGTTAAAAATATGAAAATTCTCGGAACGAAGGTAGCAACTCTCCCTGGAGATGTCGAGCAGACACGTACGGAACTACTCTTCTTCTGTTCCTTTTTTCCCCTTTTCTTTTCAAAGCGGAAATGTGTCTCATTAGCTCTCTTCCCTCCCTAACATCGTCGCCTTTAATCGAACTGTCATCTCGCACGCTAAAGACGAACAGAGCTACGTGACCGTGCGCTACGCGTCGCGTCGCGACGCGGACAAACGTGGTTACACAGCGAACAGCTGTCACTGCAAGAACTATTATTACCTCGTGCTGGCACCGAGACGCCTTGTAATTCCTTGTACACTCGGTTACAATGTAGGTTTCCTTCCGATAAAGACTATAGGGGAACGTTCCCACCATTTGTTCTTAAGACAATTATATATTTCTTTGTTTAAAAATATTAATTAATTTGGAAAATTTTCGAGATGTCTCGTTTTAAATTTACAATTGCATAAATTACGAAATTTGCAAATTTTTGCATTTTTAAATTTATATATTTGCAAATCTTCATATTACAAAATTTTGAAGATTATAAATTTTTAAGCTTTCTAAATGGCAGATTCTATTCATCACTTTTTGCCAACTAATCAACGTACGTTATTATTGAATGCAATTATTCAATATTAGCCTTAATTGAAAAGATCCTCCTATGAAAAAGTCCTCAAATCTCTAAACTTCCAAATCTACAGATTCCTAATTTAAAAATTCCTAAAATTTCTAAATATACAGATTCGTAAATTGAAAATTCTTCAAATGTCCAAATATCTGAATCCCAAGTTTGCAAATTTCTGAATCCTTCCAAAATTTCAACCCAAATTCAACAACTGAAGCAATTAAAAATCTCCAAAGTGTCAAATATCCAAGTACCTAAATGTCTGAAATCATAAAAACAACTTCTCTAACACGCGTGCTTCTGAGACATTCTGTACACGTCGCATCCCAGAGGGCTAATTGTACCTTCAGCCTGTTCATCCAGCAGCAGTACTCTATATCCGTCAAAACGCAAGATCATTTATTTACCGAATAATCAGGCAGACGGCAGTAAACATTAGACACGTAGAATAGCGTCCAATAGTCGAGGAGAACGCGAGCCTACATCATCACGCGACGTCTTAGGAAAGGATGGTGCATCTGCGACCTATTACGGGGCGAGCAAATTGCTTCCCGTCGTAAAATCCGTTCGAGTGATTGATTAGCATGATGTCTGGCTAAGACTCGTGGTTTCTTCCCTTCTCGTTCGTGCATTCCCTTGTCGCAGAAATGCGTCACATTCCCATAACGGTAACCGATCGGGTATCGACATTATCAGCAGTGAGGCATCTCCATTAGCGCTGTCGTACGAACTCGTCAAATTAGAACTCTTATGTAAGTCGTTTATTTTGAAAGGACATGTCCATTTTTTGTCGCTGTTCACCGAGCACGAGGACCGGTTTCAGCTGAATTTTTGTAATCAGCTACAAATTAGGTGAGTCATCGAGTGACGCACATGTAACGCACTCCTCAACTGTGATCTAATATTTAAATTTTTAATACGCTTTAATTTGGCGTTTATGTTGAATTACAATTTGCACAGTCAATAATTGAAATAATACCAAATTGATAAAATATATCAATTCTTTTTCTCTTTTAATATTGTGTAATTAGTTCAAACAGACCTAGGTTCAGACACACTTAACAAATGACTTGGGCAAATCTTTTATTCACGAAAACCAATAAATTAGAAAATATAAAAACTAGTAGACAAATTTAATAATTTTTTAGTCTATTTCCAACAATATTTCCCCAAGGTACCACCAATAATTTCCTTGCCACCAGAAAATGTCACGAATAAACTTTAAAAGCAAGTAGTTTCAAAGGAAACATAAAACCTTTGTAAGAAAGTGAAAACATAAATGAAAGTCCCTGGAGTCTGTTCCACCTGCGCACATCGCATATTTCATTTACGATCTCATGCAGAATGTATTTATTACACAATCCTGAGGTGCCTCCATTTCAATTTACTCGTCAGGCGTAAAAGAACAGAAAAGAGGCGGCAATCACGAGAAATAAAAATCGAGCATTGAAGTATCAATTTCAGATACAAAAACAACAGAAAATGAATTACACAATCGGTATTAAATTGCTGAACGAAAGAGTACAACGTAAACAGATGGCAGATAGAAAGGAAACAACAAAAGGATGCAAGAAAGTAGTCGATGTTTTCTTGTAGTACCAAGACATTGATCAATGATTGTACCACGCCCACTATCGGGATGAATGACGTTATCGATGTAACAACCACTCAAACATCGATGCGTGCATGTTAAAGCGTCAAAATACAGCTGCATCATCGATGAGAAGCGATTGCATGAGGATATGGGATCCTGTGTTGTGACAGTAAATTGCTTTTCAGTTTATACGGTACCAATTTCAACTTTTTGTAATATTCGGGTTATGCAGTAGGGAGTTTAGAATATTATATTTAGAGGAATTAGTGTAAATTGCATCTGGTCGAAATTGGGATTTAATATAGTGTGGGGTGCATTTCAAGCTTTAAATTATTATAGGAAAACAGAAATAATAGTTGTGAATAGTTATAGCTATTTCGAAAGGAAAGAAATTAACCAATAATCTATTGATAAATGAAAACTTCATTTCAAGATTTAGAAGTTTATTTATTTTAGAAGTTTTTAGGATTTGGGAAATTGGGGACTTGGAAGTTTGAAGAGTTGATCGTTTGAAGATTTGTAAATAGATTTATTTGAAAATTGCTAACTGAAAATTTAATTTGAAAGATCAAAAATGCGATATTTTTAGAAAAATTGTTGAAAATCAAAGACTACAAAAATTGCATCTAAAGATTGGAAAATTTAAAAATTTGAAACAGTGAAAATTTAATCTAAAAATTCGAAAGCTCCTAACTTCTTATTTGAAAATTAAAGTCTGTAAAAATTTAATTTGAGTCTCCAAAAATTTGGAACTGTGAAAGATTAATCTTAAATGAAATTAATTAAGAAACCGAACATGTTAATCAAATCCATTCGAAATGAAAGCTGCCGACAGAAGATTGAAATCATACTAATATCATAGACTAAAAGTTTGTAATAAATGGTTAAAATGAAACGTCTCAATCATTAGATAGTCAACGCACGATTGCGACAACAGGAATTATTCTCTTATTAATGATCATCATTTCCGCATATTCCGCGTGGGAAGGCATGTAATCACATAGCTTCAAGATTATGTTAATGGACGAAAATGCTATTTGCTCGCTAAAATTGGGTATGTTAAGTCAGGCTAAGTATCTTCAGTAAATTAGATACGCTTGTGTATCAGGTAAGCCAAGTTCGTATCAGCCGGTTGTGTAATTTACGTTGACTATATTAAGTAGATTAGATAGATTAAACACGCCATAGGTTCGAGATATATCGATTAGACTCGACTGCACTTGATTACGTTAAGCATCACCAGACTCAAATTTTTACTGTATTAAGTACCAAACTTTGATGCAAATTCCTCTTCTTAATGAAGACGTTCATCTTCGATTTTTATATTCTTGTTAAAATATATTTGTAATTTTGCTAAGTTATAACTAGTATGTAATTACAATGTTCTCTTATTATAGCAAGTTTTATTATAGAAAGTCTATTAGGTTAGGTTTGTACAGCCGGTATCTTCCATATTGGACAAAGTCTTTAAAATGGTCGTATAGCGCGGGAAATTCAAATCGAATGAATGTTATTTCACGTTAACCTCTAATAATTACAAATCTACTCGTCGTAAATTTTCTGTATATTATTAATATTGACTTTCCAAGTCTTTCTAAGACTTTATTTACAAATTTTACAAAATTAAACAGTTGTAGAAAAATGCAACAATCAAGCATTTTTGCTCATCCGTATAGCACTAGTTACTAAATATTAACACATCATTGATCCATGTTCAGGACGTTGTTAAACCTTCTTTCGAATGAGACTTCTTGAACTCTACAACTCTTCATTTAAACCCTTGTTTTACAATATTTTTCACATTCACGTGAAAACAGTCGCGTGACGCATTCACATAATGCACTCGCGCTTCAGCTGTGACAAATCTCTTTTAACATTCTTCCATTTGTAATTTAAATTCGATTATAGCTTACACAGGATAGCTGAATAAAAACTTG